GAAACTAGGAATAGAGGTGTCATCTCCCATCCAAGTCCCAGATGGAACTGACAAAACATCATACATCCGTGTACATGACTGTAGGTTTGGTAAGTAGTCAAACAAATCAGCGCCAGAAGAAACGCCATAAACTTCGTAGCCAGGGCCGCTGCCAAGGCAGGGGACTTGAAATGTATATATGTCTCTTCCAAAAGGAGTAGGACAATGGAATAAGGTAACATTACGTATTTTGGTGTCTAATAAGTAGAAGGGGGAGATTGGAATGTTAGGGGTTTCTAAGGGATTTAACAGCAGGCAGCCATCTTGGCTATATATTAGCCCACGCTTGTAATCTATGCTTTTGACAAAGAATTTTACTAGCGCTACTTGCTGCTCAAGAACAGCCTCCTGTCTATCATTATTGCATCCAAGCCCAGAATCGCCACAATGATTTCCGAGGAGGAATGGGAAATGGATAGCCAGGCCATGATCATTACTGCACTTTGATTCTGTACACCAATTTTGGCTTGCTCCAACCGCCGTGAAGAAAACACATAACGATATGCATAAGGAAGACATGAACAATTGCTGCATTTCTGAGCTAATAATGCATGTGGATTTTTTCCCTAAGCACATAATTTGGAAAACTAAGTCAAGAATGATAAAGGTTTTCAGTAAATAAATATACAAACCATTGACTGAAAGAAACTCCTAATCAGCAACTAAAGTCAAAAAAAATAAGGCTGAAATGGCACTATTAAATCATCAATTGCCCTATAACGACCCATTCAATTCTTCTGGATGTGCTCGTACAGCTTACACGCAATTACCATCTCATATAAAGAACTGTCCAAATATTAAACTAGTTTGAATGTCAAACAACCTCTCTCTCTCTCTCTCTCTCCCTCTCTCTCTCCCTCTCACCATGGGAAGCAGGTCCTTGGCCTTGTCTAGGTGGGTTTTAATTGTAGCCTTTCTTGTTGTTGGCTTAGCCGGTGAAACTTGTAACGCCAAGGATGAAAGCACCAAGTGTACCTCTTCCTGTGGCAATATCCACAACATAAGCTATCCTTTCCGACTAAAACATGATCCAAAGCACTGCGGCAATGTAAAGTATACTCTGTTTTGTGAGAACGACAATACACTTGTAGACGTACCTTCTTCTGGAAGATACTATGTCCAGGCAATCAACTACCATAACCAAACAATCCGACTCGTAGACCCTGGCCTTCAGAACAACAATTGCTCCTCCATGCCTCGAAATTTTCTTCCCGGGTTAAGATTTCCATATTCTATAGGCAAGACAAGGGGTTCACCGCTTTCAACGCCTATATTTTACATCATGTGTTCAAATCCAGTGAATTCTTCTCTGTACGTGGAAACTGCTCCATGCTTGAACACAAGTGCTACTTCTTTGGTCCAACAAAAGACGTATAGTTATGTGAAGGCTGGGGCTATGGTAGTGGGGGATTTGAACAGGGGTTGCAGTGTAGAGTACGCTTCGGCGCTCTTGAACTACTCTAAGGACTACATGCCCTCTTATAAATCCATACACAGTGCACTCATGTATGGCTTCGAGCTTAGAGTAGATTGGCCTTACGAAAAGTGCCCAGGCCAATGGACTTCTAATTCTAAATGTTTTCCACGCACCATCCTAGGTACGTGAATTCTTGGCCATGGCTTGTAAATGTTGCACTTTTACTTTGTGAATACATAGAAGGAAGTTAGGGGCACTCAAACTCCGGTAACGCTCTCTTGCCAGACTTGTAATTGTCAGAAAAATACATGTGTTTTCAATCTTTGGATCTCGACTAAACATTCAAGCAAAGAATACATATGATAAATGATTCAGATTCACACATTGACAATATATCTGATAGTGTGGGACTATCTGGCAAGAGAGAATGTTACCCTTTAAACTCCAGTCCAAAAATGTACTTGCTATTTTTAGTTTGCTAGTTTAGGATGATGAACTTGTATATAAACCCCAATTAATGAATGAAATAGACAAGCAAAACTCAAAGTATTTACTTAACTTCTTCCTTTTGTTTCTCTAATTGTCTTAAAATTCATCTCGTTCCCTTATTCCTATAAAACTAGGGATTCATAATTTTATTGACTAGAAATTTTGGATTAGACTTAGGCACCCTTTTGGTGACTTGTTTGTTCTCCAAGTTGTGCAAATCATTTAGAGCAGAAGAAGAGCCCCATACGCTTGGGTCTACCCCGACCCCTGTCAGACTTTGGCCCGGTCAAAGTCCTTAGTTGACCACCTGATTAAGACTGGTCCTCAACAGAATCAATCTATCAAATAGAAACGATGTCCTTAGTAAAGTTGTTTCCAAACGATGTCCTTAGATGCCATGTCAAGAAAAACGTAGCTAGCTTCATGGTTAGACAGACGAATGGGCTGAATCTGTTTGTGAATCTCGGGTGGCCTATGTTCTGGGTGATTTTTGGCTTGGTTTGCTGAGCTATGGGTGTTTGGGTCTTCATGGTGGTGACTAGCGGTGTGTCCATATACAATCGGGGAGTTTCTCTTTGCTGGTGGTGGTAGCTTGGAGTTTCTCTTTGATTGTGGCGGCTAGGTTTTATGTGTTTCATTTTATGTATTCTATGTTTAATGTGGGCTTTTTGCTAAATGTGGGTATAATACCTCTTTGTGGGCTATATGCTTTTATGTGGGCTAAATGCCTTGTTGTTGGCTTTTGACGTTTTAGGTTCGGCTCAGGAACATGATCTTCATGCTATGCTGTACTGGTTTTAGTTAGATTTGTTCCTGTTTGTTTTCTAGTTTTCTGACCGGTGCTTTTGCTTGGCTTTGATTGTACTGTTCTCTACCTCTTTGAGGGTTTGCAATGAATTGCAATTTCGAAAAAAAAAAAAAGAAAAAAGAAAAGACAGACGAATGGGCAAATGGTGTACCAATTGAGAACTTAAAGGTTATTTTTGTTAGTTTTTAAACGACATGGGTCAAACTGTTACAAATCTCAAACCACGAGAGTGAAAAATGTAATTGACTTTAAACTTTAATTACTTTGTGTGCTAATGTTATCTTCTTCTTTTCACTGTAGGTTTAATTCGATTTCGATGGGAGGTTACTAAAGGTAAGCTAGCAAGTGCTCTCTCTCTCTCTCTCTCTCTCTCAGATTACAACTTTTGAGTACACGACAAGAGATCACGATTCCACCAAACATGTGTTATAAATTCTTCTTCATCTTCTATATATATATGTAAAGCGAAAAGTATAGAATGGTAAAACATTTAAAATACTAAAAAAAGCACTTAGTTAAAGAAAATACTAAGAAATAAACATATTTAGTAAATCCATATTTATGGAAGATAACTGTCCATTTTATCTTTTTTAATTCTAACATAAATTAAAATTAAAATAAAAAGAAACCCAATTTGCCAAGGGGCTAGTTTGTGGCTGGAATAGAGGTATGTATCAAAACTTGGTTTTAAATTGTAATGACTCCATATGCTAATGTTGTTTTTTTTTTCTCCCTTACTTTTGTCACTGTAGTTTTCTTTTCTCGTGGAGACGTGTACGTTGGTAAGGACTTTCTCTTAATTTTTCTTTCCCCAACCCCCCCCCCCCTCTTCTTTTTTTTTTTTTTTTGTCAATTACACGACAATTGTAGTGAGTGGAGAGAAATGAACTTGTGACAGAAAATATGTCAATTCAAACTTAGTCCAAGTCTTCGTTTTTGCTTACATTTGTTGTTGTATTTCTTGCAGCTAGACATCCATGCTTTGCCTTCCAATCCATCCGTAAGATCTTGAAATTCATGCAATATAATCAGTTCTTCGATTTTGTTCCCTTTCAAAAAAAATTGTAGTCAAGTCTTTGATTTTGTTCGCACTTTTTCTATGTTTCTTGCAGGGCGTAGATGGGGGCCACTCATTTGCTTGGGTAAGGGCTTGTGTAATCCCTTGAATGACATCAAAATCAAAGAATACATATATAGATTCCAAACAAAAGGAAGATAATGTCTCGCAAACAAGAAGAAAAAGCATTAGTTGATCTAAATGTTCTTTTCTCATTGTTCTTTTGGTGATACATCTCTTGTACAGGTTCATTTTTTGCAGCAAGACTCATTTTTGGGGTTCCATGTATGATTGCGTTCGTAATCTATAAATGGCGAAGACGACATTTGTCAATGTATAGCGTCATAGAAGATTTTCTACAAAGTGATAGCAACTTCTTGCCAATAAGGTACTCTTACTCAGAAATTAAGAAGATGACTAATAAATTTAAGGATAAACTGGGTGAAGGCGGCTATGGCTCTGTATTTAAAGGAAAGTTACGCAGCGGCCGTTTTGTAGCAATTAAAGTTCTGGGCAAGCCCAAAGGTAATGGGCAAGACTTCACAAGTGAGGTAGCTACCATTGGAAGGATTCATCACGTTAATGTGGTGCAACTTATTGGTTATTGTGTTCAGGGATCAAATCGTGCTCTAGTATATGAATTCATGCCAAATAGCTCTCTCGATAAATATATTTATTCCAAAGAAAAAAGCATGCCCTTAAGTTGCAAGTACGAGATTTCTCTCGGAGTGGCTCGAGGGATTGAATATCTGCATCAAGGTTGTGAAATGCAAATTCTACATTTTGATATCAAGCCTCATAATATTCTTCTTGATGAGAACTTTAATGCAAAGATTTCTGACTTCGGGCTTGCAAAATTATATTCCGTAGATGATAGCATTGTCTCTTTGACAGCAGCAAGGGGAACAATGGGCTATATTGCTCCTGAGTTGTTCTACAAAAATATTGGAGGTGTTTCCTACAAAGCTGATGTCTATAGTTTTGGAATGTTGCTCATGGAAATGGCAAGTAGAAGGAAGAATTTCAATTCAATGGTAGAGCGTTCAAGCCAAACTTACTTCCCGTTGTGGGCGTACGATCAATATAACAAAGGAAATGACTTGGAGATGGGAGATTTTAATGAGGAGGAAAAGAAAATCATAAAAAAGATGGTTATAACTGCATTGTGGTGTATTCAAATGAAGCCAAGTGATCGGCCTTCCATGAACAAAGTCATAGAAATGCTCGGAGGAGATGTTGAATCCCTAAAGATGCCTATCAGACCTTTTCTGTATCCACAGGAGATGCATGCAATTGATGTTCAAGAAAATTTGAACTCAATAGGTTCCAACGGGGAGTTAACATGGACTTTGTCAGCTAGGTGATCATCAAATTGTTAAAAAATGCAATCATTTATTGTTTGTTTTTTTTTTTTTTTTTTTTTTTTTTTTTTTTTTTGTGTAGGACCTTTCCTATTGAGAGGGGCGATAATATATTAAGTTGAAAAAACTCTCGTCTTCAAAATCAAGAGGAATTAAATTGTTTATGTATTTATGAGGTACTAAGGCGTTTTTAGATTCCAAATAACTTGGATCATTGCAAACCCTCATAAATAAAGAAACTCTTAAAATTCAACTCCATCAAAGAATTCTTTGCATTTCCCTATAATAAAAAAAATTGTACCAAAAAGCACTATGACCGCACTAAATATGTACCCAATGTTGGTCATTTTGCTTTTGGCTAGCCCATCAAGAATGATTTTCACAACTTTCTCAATTTCAACTTTCAAGACATCTAATTCGAAAATCTTGGGGAATGTAAAAAATGTATCGCCATTATCTGCGCTCAAGAAGTTGGTGGAAGTATTTTCGAAGGTGGGACTATAAAGATGGTTGTTGCCCTAAGCTTGTGTCTGTAGGCAAAAATTTGTCTTGCTTTATTCTTCAACTTTGCTCTTGGGTCTAAACCCAATGTCGATAAATCTGGAGCTTTGGCAAAGAGTACACAAGTTTGGAATCGATGTGTTGGAATTGCAGTCTCCCCTGCATCTTCTGTCACAATTCCAAACTCAAGGGCTTCAAAATCGAAAACAGTTAATGAATGTAAAAATCATATCTCCACTATTGATGAATGTAAAAATCATATTTCCACTAAGTGCGCTTGAGAGGTTTGTGGAATATTTTCCAAAGTGGGAGTGTAACACATGGTTGTTGCTATAAGCTTGTGTCTGCAGGCAAAACTTGCCATGATCTATTCTTTAACTCTACTCTTGCCTCCAAACCCAATGTCGACAAATCTAGAGCTTTAGCAGAGAGTACACAAGTTTGGGACCAATGTGTTGAAATTACAATTTCCCCCACACCTTCTATTGCAATTCCCAAACCAAAGTCATTAAATTCAGAGACCTTGGTTGAATGCAAACATATCTCCATTAATTGCGGTTGGGAAGTTGGCGGAAGTATTTTTGAAGGTGGAATGGTAATAGGTGATTATTGCGATAATCTTTTGTTTGAAGAAAAAAACATACTGTGATATATTCTTCAATGCTACTCTTTTGTTCAAACTCGATGTGAACAATCCTAGAGCTTTAGCAAAGAGTACACAAGTTTGAAATTGATGTGGTGAAATGACAATTTCACCTACATCTTCTATTTTAGAACTGGAGAACTAAATAATCAGAAATTATGCATGAGATATTTGCTATGTTAAAGTAACATTTTTATTTCATATATGTTTATTCCAAAAAAAAAAAAAAGGTGACTTCACCATGTTGTTTCATTACGAGTTCAATTTTGTTGGTTAATTACGGTTCTTCAACAATTGAAAAACAAAATAGTACTATTTTCCACAGCAACCAACAATGACTCCATTCCATTCTTTGTGAGGTTCAAATTATTATTGAACCTTTTTTTTCGCAAAGTAAGTTTATTAATGTTTATTATTTTTAATTTTTTTGGTATGGGATAGGCGTTTATGGTCATCCTTTTGTTCGCATTATCATCATTTCTTCGTCGTCATCTTACTGGGTTGCACATTGTAGATCAGAAACACTCAATCAGTCCAATCGACAACGAAAGAATGCTTCAATATATTTGGAACATTTTATTCATGTACGCTAAATAAGCATACTCATGTAATTAATTGTCACAATACTATCACAATACTATCACAATTTGTTTTACCTAAAATTATTGATGCTCAAATCTCACTTTACCCTTTGAAAGTTAAGGTGACCCAAAATTACCCCTTTGACCGGTGTTTTGCGTCCCACGTTACCCCTTGTTGAATACATAAGTGCCCCGTGTGGAAAAAATCAATAAAATATTTTCTTTAAAAAAATAAAAATTACTTCTTTCTCTCCCTCTTTCTTTCTCTGTACTCACGACCCTCTCCCTCCCGTACAAACCACTTCTGGCAGGCATCACTGCCCCCACCTCCTCCCATGCGCTCCTCTAACTAACTCCGCCGCCCCTTCCCCTACCAGCCGCTTAGGGTAGGCATCTCTGACTCATCTCTTCCTATCCCTTCCTCTAACAAGCTTTGCCATCCCGACCCCCACCAACCACTTGGGTCTAGGTAGAGAACACGCCCTTGAAGACCTTTTCCCAACGAAGACCCACCCGATGTGCACACACTGGCTTGGCCTCTATTCCTGCCACATCCAACGACATCGAAACCCAACCCAATAGCCTCATGACATCGTAGGTGTTGCCGCTGCTAGATCCAAGGGCACTGAAACTCGGGCAACAACCTCCCATAGTTTACGCCAATGTGCTGCCTCTGCGACCCGTGTATATCAGGATTTTAAGGCAAAGCTTGGGAGAATCGGAACTCTCAGAATACTGTGACCATGGTCATTATCTGCTCTCCATTGACTGCGGTCATCATTCGATGGGCCATCATTTTGAGTCAACTCTTCTTTCAGTTGGGTCTGAAACAACCTTGGGCTGGGAATATGTTAGTACAAAAATTGTATTGGCATTTCCTAAACTCTAGCATAGGTTGGAAACTAGTGTGTGAAGAATTGTTTACTAGACGTTTTAGCACAACACAATCAATCCCATACTTCCGAGGCATGACTTGACTGATATGAGAAACTTGACTTCAAGTAAATCATGACATAATCATGCATTTACAATAGGATTTATAATTGAAGTTATTTTCAATGCCATTGTGATTTAAGTTAAAATGTCAGCGTTTCCTATAGTGACGTGCACCATACTCATCTACTAATTAACTTGTTTTAGGAGATGATTATATCTTCATAAAAGCGGCCATTTGGTGTCATCACTAAAGAGTCCATATTGAATCACAATTCATATTCATAATTAGATAGTATTGTGCCTTCTGTTTGGCGTCTAAATGAAGAGACCACATTGGATCAGGTTTGAAAGTCAAAGTTGGAGACAATTAGCGTTCACTTGGTTTTCTCTCTTTTGAGAGAAAACCTGCCTTGAATAAAACGTTAGGTTTTCCCTTTCAAACTTTATGAGCTTTCAACGATTGGTTTTTTAGCATATTGAATTTTGAAAAGAAAGCTACTGTGCATATTTTTCAGATAAGTCATCAAGTGTTCCTTGTTTGCTTGGTGATTTATCAAATCCTTTTATCTTTCATATTGCATTCATATGCATGTTGGTGACTCATACGGTTGAGGGCACTGAGACTGTTGTGGAGTTTATCCTCCAGCGAGCTTGAAACAATCGCGACCAATATTACGTTCAACATAAGGAGTGTCGAAGATCATCTCGTGACAGAAGTTGAGCTACTAAGAAGTCAGTAAACTTTATGTAGATTGCGTCTAGGATAAGTGTGTGAGTATTTCTTGTAATCCTGATTCTATAGTGGATTTGTTCTGGAATAAGGAGTCTCGTCGATTTTTCTCAAAAGTGGGGTTTTACCACGTAAAATAAATAAGTGCATGTTCTTTTACTTTAAGCTCTGCACATTTCAGGATTGATAAGCCATATCAATCCTGCTTCGAAAATCTCGAATTAGCCTATTCAAACCCCCTCTAGGAATTTTTGGTCATCCTACAGGTAATTTCAATTGGCTTCAGAGTAGGTTGCTGAACTTACTCAACAAGATCTGACATACCTTAGGATAGATCGTATAGTGGGTTCTGTTGCACATCCACCATACTTCGATGGCAACAACTATGGCGCTTGGAAGGCTAAAATGAAGTCGTTTATTTAGTCCCTAGATGAACGTGTATGGAATACAATGATTCATGGATTTCCTAAACCCACAAAGAAGATCATAAAAGGAGATGAAGAAACCACAGTCCTCAAAACTAGAGAGGAGTAGACCACTGCAGAAGCCACACACAACACTAATAATCAAAAGGGGATAAATGTTATATTTACTGCTGTCTCTTCCGA